ATAGAATTCTCACATCGGTAATCTGTAGAGTACAGTATCGATCAAGTCGATCCTCGTCCGTCATAGTCACGGAAGACAAACAAATCATGAACTAACCTGATATTCAAAATCATTGATTGTTGATATGTTTGCTGAGCTTGGTAGTTTAACTGCAAACGTTTCATCACTAATAGAGGTGATATTGTCAGTGCAGTGCTCAGTGGGAGCTACGCGAACGCCTCAATAATAAAAGACGGTCGAGGATTGGAAAGAAATAGTGAGACTCAGGTTCGGAGCGATGCCGAAAAGACGAGCCACTGAGGCCGACCTAACGAAGCTAAATAGAAATCGGTGACATCGAAGCGACATTCATTGGGGGAAGGTGTGTAACGGTGGGTATTACTATAACTCCGTCAGATCCAATGAAAGGTGGTTTATTACGTAATTAGTGGAACTGCTTTATATCATTCATTTACAAATGCTCCATAGTCAGTGAATATTCAGGGAAGTTTGAGGGGGCACATTCAAGTAGAAAACCGATATGCTGTTTTTCAAAAACAAGGTGCAGGGGAGAGTTTTAATTTCCTGTGCCAGTTTCTGTAACCTTGACGCTTTCTCCTGCGTCAGCGAAAGCCAAACATGTTGGTGGCCAGCCAAACGGTTAAGTGCTGAAACCACTAGCCGGGCCGTTGCAAGTTCGGTTTGAAACTACCTGCAGTTTCGTCAGATGTACACTGGGGGTTATTCGCAGTAAGTATGAAACGGCTTGACGATGATTTTCAGCTTTTGGGCATAAACAGACCTCAATACCAAGTAGAAATTTCCGATAAATATTCCAAATATTTCTCATGATATCAAGCAATATGAGACGGCATCCCTACTAGCTTAGTTGTGTTGCCTGTCAACATTTTAAAAACCCATCTAAAGCGGGTCCAATTCGGCTTAGTGTCTAACACTGAATACCGAATTTGCGCAACCGTCGATAACAATCACCTCCATAACGCCAGGTTTCGATCGTGATGCAATCCGCTTTTAAGTGACTGAATACCACTCTGTAACAGGCGCCCATCTCCGAGTTTGGCAATCTATGTGCCTTCGGTAGATGCTGGGTTATTCCATCCAGCATGAAATATCAAAAATTACAGCCTATCCACACATCAATCATCGAGACGTCTCCCCGGGCGTGGTAGAACGAAACTGTTGAGTTCCTTCCGAAACTCCGCAGAAATTCATGGACAGGTTATCCAAGTCAAAAGCACTTAATGAGCTTGCTCGATGAGGATAAACACCTACATTATGGTTCCCGCAGTAGAATCTTGGTTTAGGTGTGCATATGGGGATTAATCGTTGTTAGCGCCCAGGCAGATGCCCGGTTGCTTTGTGGAATTCAATCGAACAATTGTCGTCCAGCTTTCTCAAGAAAATTTCAATTTTATGCGAGAAAGCCTGGTCTTTGGATGTGTGTTTATATTTATGTGAATATGATACGTCCGAGGTATCGAAACATCACACTGGATGGCTATAAAATACTCACCATGTTAGCGTAGGTTGATGAGGGGATTAATTAGAATATCCAGTCTTTGAACACATCCAGCATATACCCAGATATTTTTACTGGTTTCAGATCCGATTTGGCGAATGCAACGAGGAAAGTTACCTCAATGCTGCGGTTGGAGATAGTTATTTGCTGCATCCTGGAAGGTGGTTCACACTGAAATGCACAAATTTCTCGAAAACTCTTTCTTACCATCAGACTTTCCTTGATTAAAGACCCTGTTGCACACCCAAACACTCGTTTGCTGATTGATTCGTTGTGGATTTACACACATTAGTTCACATCAGCTTCGGTTGTGAGGTGATCGATAACCCAAATACGTAATAGGTAAGTTTCTCGCAGTGGCCATGTCTCACGGAAATGCTGCAAACCAACACGTATGGAAGCGTGACACAAATTCCGTGAGATTCGTGGTTATGCCGCCACGCATTTCTAGATGTGGAAATGTGACTAAGATTTCACAGATTGATGGCTTCATATTCTCTATCAAACTACAATGTGAAGTCACGCAGGAGATTTAAAGTTTGGAAACCGCGAACTCCTGTGGACGCGGAGCTCCACAAACAACCCGTACATGCTTATAAAATAAATATGGTTAAAGCGGAAGACGAGAACACCACAACAAACATCCTACAACAACGTATCCAGATATATCGCCTGACTACAAATCCGTCCACAGCTATGGTTGTCGAGCTGACGTAAATGCATAAACTGGCATGTATTAGATGAAGAAGCCCTGAATAATCCTGAGTGAGTTGAAATGTGAAACCAAAAAGTTATCGTTGGGTTTGGAAGAACATGTCTCTCTTTGAGAGGGTCAACTTCTACTCATGAATCGTATGAAATCTTGCTCATCATGAAATATGTTCACGTTCATGGTGTTCTTTCGTAGAACGCGGTATCTTCCGAGAAAGAAATTCAACCAATCCTTGAATGAATGAGTGTGAGGTTGAAGAATGTGACTTTCAATCTGGAGTTTACCAGATGGATAACGGAATAAGGTGAAAATGCCTTTTACATGGCTTTTATCTAGTAGCATAAATTTAGACTTTTGTTCGAACAAGTCCTGTCGCAAAATATTTGTCCACAGTCACATTGGTTCGCAATTCACGCCATCACCGAATGTTATCACATCACTGAACTTTGTCTACCGTTCCACTGCCAAACCGCTGTACACTTTATGGAGCACGATAAAGGATGACTTCAGATGGTGCAAAGTTCAGTAATAGGCTCACGCCATTTAAAGCGAACCTGATGCACAATAAACAGTATGATTTTACCTGTGAGCTTGAATTCTCTCACCTTGCCACGTTGCAACATGATTTTTCCAAAAATTACCGACGCAAAATTGATAACATGGGCACATTTTCGGGGGAGCCTGAAAAGGAATGAGGAGCTTCAACTTCGGAACACATTGCATAGCGTGAGAGATCTCGGCTTACGTTTTGTTGAGAAAATTAAGGGGGTAGAAAGTTTAACGTGGACTTGCGCGCATCACCGAACGAACCAACTACATCCTATCGTGGCTAATCAGTAATAGAACACTGTCGACTTTCGCAACTCAAGTGTTCGACAGAAGATGTGATGCTTGAAAAACACCGCATGAAAAAGTTCGAGGAACTCGTCATCTGGGGAGGTGTGCCTACACTCGACATGTAGATACACACAGATTTTCGTGATACGCACGTCTGAACAAAGAAAAGATTTGTATGAAATTTTATAAATAGACGTTATTTACACGAAACACTGTAATCGCCCGCAAGGCTGGCAGATTCATTTAATCCTTTTACGAAACCAAATAAAGTTGGAGATGCTACTGGATATGACTGTTAATTGATTTTACTCCCGTCCATGTTGTCAGACTCTCTCCATTCTCTCGCTCCCGAAAAAATGCTTGGAGATATAGGCACCTAACAATGATTGTAGTGAGCTAGCACCATGTCATTTCATCGTCAACATTTGTAGGTTTTTTACAGCAAAACTATGTTATAAACTATTTTGGTACCGCAGCAAAACATCAGACATTAAGATTGATATCAAGCTGCCGTCGTTCATGACGGTGATGGTGATGGTGATGCTGAAAAGCCACGATGAACAGTTCGTATTCCTTGGACGTTTGATGATCATCAAATGCCACTTTACGCTCAGACAAAAACAGGCCAAGAGGGCAGGGTCAGATAACGCAAGGAAGAATTAACGCGATAACGCTCTACACAATGAGAACATGAAAATGTTTTAACAAATCGTGTGGTTATGGACTTGTAACAATAGTTCACCTAGCAAACGAAACCCTCATCACAAGGTTAAACTTCATTTGCAGC